CAAAATAAAGAGATAAAATAAACTTAAAGAATAAATTACTGATAAAATAAAGAGGCTTACGTACGCAAGCTGACTTTTCCGCATGGAACCGAAATTTTGGGAATAAACTGAGATTATGGTCTATGTATGGTTGCAGTAACTTAAATTACCATGAAAACTTGTGAATATTATTTTCTTATCAAAATAAATAATCACACCAAGATTAAAGAAATCTCAATCAAAAAAATAGCTTGTTCAAAGTTTCACATCATTACGGTACCACAAAGGCAAGTCTTTCATACAAAAATAATTTTTTTTGTGGATTTTTGTATGAAAGGTCTGTGAAAAATCGATTGCATCTTAAAACTTACATCATATTCGGGTTTCTCGTGCCAGAAAACCCCCCACTAGACATTCTTTCAGCGTTCAAATTGAAAGAATATCATTTTAAGGCATTTTTCTCATAAGTGCCTCTTCACAGACCAAGTTTTACATCGATCAATCAATTTCGTTGAAAATTTGACCAGATCTATTCCTCGTAAGGCCCAATCATCCGTAAAGTCAGATTTTGAATTTCATGTCTGAGCACGAAACCATCGTGTCACCAAAATGGTTGAAAAATGATCAAAAAAGTAAAATGTATGGATTGTGGGTACTCCATTCGGACCAAAAAAAATTACACCGGTCAACAGATATTGCTCAAAAACTAATCAGCACGTCTCCTAGTAGTCCCAAATCATCCTGCAAAGTCAGAATTTGAATTGAGTTTTTGGAAGAAGATTTATCGAGTTAACAAATTTTGGCAACACGCCACAGGACACAGGACACAGGACACAGGACACAGGTCACAGGACACAGGACACATCACACATAGCGACGCACATTAATATGCCCCAAAATCATCTCCAATCGTGTTTTCTACATTAAATATGCATAGAAAACATGTTTTGGGATGACTTTAATTTTTTGGCCTAATACAATACCTTTCCTACACTAGGTGTGCGGAAAAGTAAAATCAGAGTATCATGATTTGCTGCTGCTCAGCATATAGCTGAGAGCTGAGAAATGCTGAA